CAGTGGTAAAATACCTCTGGGTTCCTTAATTAAAATGTGTGTGTGTGTGTGTGTGTGTGTGTGTGTGTGTGTGTGTTTTCTAAATAATACAATAGTGGCTGTCCTTTCCAAGTACATTTGGTAAAGCTTCAAAGAACTTAAAAGATTAAAGGAACTGCGTTACTCACATTTTAAATAAAAAATGACAGGAGGTAGGGGTGGAGGCAGAACTTTTGGAATAGGTGGTTGACAATTGAAAAACAGAAGTATTTAATGATATCTTTGAGAATTTTTTTCATTTTTGCTCCCTGCAATCCTTGAAATAATTATCGTTTACTTTAGTTTTTACTGTCACTCATTTTTAATAGGAAGCCTGTCCTTATCTATCTTCTAGTTACAAGTAAAAACTCCTTTGCTCTGTAAATAAGTCTTCAAATGACATGAAAGCCCAAAAGCAGAAATTAGTGCCCAAGTTTTCATAGAATTAGTGGCTTTCAGCCTTTATCATGCCAAGCTCTGGTTTGTTTATGCCCTGGAAAATAGAATGAGCAAATATCTTTCACATTCATTTGATTTACCAATAGGATTCTTTCTGCTTTTAGGCTTTTTGTTTGTTTTTGCTTATAGGTATTTTAAATGACATTGAAAAATGTGGTTGGAGATTATCTGCTTGGGGATCTGACTTTTGTTATTCATCCCTCCCTATTATATAGTAACAAGATCTTTTCTGTTAAAAACAGTGAGAAAATATTAAAGGATTTTAAGCAAGACTTCAATGAAGAAAATGGGTTAGAGATGTTCAATGTTAAGACTAGTAGATCTGTTGTTTTAATTTATATACAAGATCATTTTCCTGACCAACATTTCCCATAATGTCTATAACATAGCCAGAATACTAGTCCACTGGCACACCTATGGGAAGAAATAGCCTCAGGCTAGTAGTATAGCTTATTCACACAGCACTTGCCCTGCACATACAGGGACCTGAGTTTGATCCCCAGAACCATGAAAACAAAGAAGTGACTTCTAGACCATGTTGCTCACTCTTTTTTTTAATATTTATTTCTTAGTTTTCAGCAGACACAACATCTTTGTTTATTTGTGGTGCTGAGGATCGAACCTGGGCCGCACGCATGCCAGGCGAGCGCGCTACCGCTTGAGCCACATCCCCAGCCCGTGTTGCTCACTCTTGTCTCCAGGACTGAGATTCCCTCCAGAACCCATAACTCTTCCATAGTAGTATTTGTTCCAGGGAGCACTGGTAAGACCTAGGGAGCAGAATTGGACAGATATTTTTAGAATGACACTGGTACTACGAGTAGTTTAGGGATCAGGAGAGATGAGATTGGGTGGGAGGGCTTTGGGTTGGAAATCACTTGCCATGTGGTGTCAGAATTGGCATGAGAGTGCAAGGGAAATAGTGCTAAAGGCACAGGAGAGAATTAATGGGGGAGAATTAAGAATTGGGGTGAAGAAACTTGAGTTTGTCAAAGATGGTATTGGGCACCAGGTAGAGATGAGTGTTGGGTGGTACTGGACATTAAGTGCTTGTGTTGGTAATTACCAAGATTGCCCTCAGATTCTGTGATTTGATAGGAGTACTCAAAAACCAGCATATAGTTATATTTATGGCTGTTACTAATTACAGTGAAAGGAAGCAAAGCAAAATCATCAAAGGAAGCTTCCAAGACTCCTTTCCCAATGGAATCATAAAGAATACACATAATTTCTCTAGTAATAAGCTGTGCCAGTACCTGTGAAATGCTGTCTACTGGGGAAGCCTATTAGAAACTCAGTGCCAGGTTTTTTATTGGGGGTTGGTTGTGTAGGCATCAACTGTTTAGCATGTATAAAATTCCAGACTTCCTAGATTCCCAGCAGGAAAGCAGATGTTCACTATAAACCACGTAGCTTTCATAAATTCTTAGCCAGTTGTACGCATGGTGGGTGGTGATCCTGAAATCCAAGTTCCTGGATACCAGCTCAGGGCCAAACTTGCTGCTAGGAATTTCAGACCTGCTAGGTCAACTCTTGTCTGCATAGTTGTATTAGGAACCAAGTGTTGGTAGGCATTGGGCAATTGTCTCCAGTGAAGTCAACTGAAAGTTAAGGATAACAGGTAATAAGTAGAGCAGATGGGTCCTAACCCAGTCTAGGACCTAGTAGAGGTTCATCCTTGGGCTTGGAAACACAAAGCCACCACCTTACTCCTTAGCAGGGGCCCTCTTGTTATCTAAGAGAATGGTATTAATACTACTATTTTTCAATAAAGGATGTTAAGGCCAAGTAAATTTGGGAAACTATAAAATGAACTCTATTATAGTTTTCCCTAAAACTTTTAATGTGCTAAGATGTATTGTAATTAATCAAGAAATTACTTTGTATCAGTTCTCAAATTTCTTCAGCCGTAGATCTTTGGTGCCTTTTATAGGACTAGTTAATATTTACCAAACTTATATTGGGAACTGCGCCTCTAGGCCTCTGGTTCTTAGAAGCAGCAAAGGAGCCCTAGAATCAACAGATAAAAAAGGAGGCAGTCTCTAATATATATATATATATATATATATATATATATATATATATATATATA